CCATCTCATGGACCTTCCTCCCCTCTCACATCCCCTCCATCCCACCACTCACCCTCCACCTTCCAGCCCCTCACCCCTACTCCCACCCACCCCAACCCTTAACTAAATTACTAAAAATTCCTTTGCCTGTATAGTGCCCTGGAATCTGACGTGAGATTCCCCCACTGATGATTCCTAATTTGGGGTAAAACTCTGAACATGAACACTTACTCTTACCCAGGGGCGGACTGACCATTTGGAAACTCGGGCACTGCCTGAGGGCCCGGGATCAGTAGGGGGCCCCATGAGATGCCCCTGGTACCTTTTTCATAGGCTTTTTTGAGTTTGGGCAAGGACACAGGGGCCCCATGATCCCCTATTGCCCGGGGGTCCCATGAGTTGTCAGTCCGCCCCTGCTCTTACCCCCAGCTCTCAACATAGGGTTTAAGTGTTCAATATCCTGTTTGGCCTCCCGATGCCCCGTCGACTGTACTTTTCTTTCCTGAAGACCTGCTGGGAGCACAGGGGAGGCAGGGAAAAAAAAAAAAAAAGAAAAGGGAGGGGGGAGACAACAATTCATCCCCCGAAATCCACTATCTCTCTCCATATAGCCTAGCCCCCCCCCCAACTCAGTCTATGTTCTCTTTTTGTTCACTGGCTGCCACTTCTCTTTTTTTGACCTTACACTTTCACTTTCAGTTGACCCCTCCAACCACCCCACAATTCCCACATTCTGCAGTTCTAATTTTTCACAAAAGTCACAGAGTTCTTCTAGGAATCTTAGCCTTGCTGATCTTCCGTCCTTCCACCCGATCAGACAAGCCGGAAATCCCCAATCGTATCGAATTCTTTTGCATGCTGGCAGGGGACAAACTTTTTTACTCAGGCTGTGGCAACTTTCTAAAGAAAATGGACTGTAAGACTTGGCACACCTTTGGTTTTGCTCCACCTGGAATGTATTAAGATGATTGAATGTTCAGTTGGGCTTTAAAACAGGGGTGGTCAACCTATGGCCCACGGGCCACATGTGGCCCTCGGAGCCCTCTGATGTGGCCCTCAACCTCAATCCTGGGAAGCGCACTTCTAATATATCCTGCAGGTTTGGTGGGCATTCTGAAAGAGCACCAAACCTGCAAGATATAATAGAAGTCTATGGCAAAGTGCAGCTGACCTGCAGGTGCACTGCACTGCACCGGGGGTGAGAGTAAGCCACAGTGCTTTAGTGCACAAGCAGCCTTATGGGGGTTCAGGACAGTAAGGGCTTGTTTACATTTGTGGTTTGAGAGACAGTAAAAGCCCATTGTTGAGACGTGTTTTTACCACACTCACCAACTACTGATGTAGTGTCAGGGGTTGCAATGGTGACCCTGCCCCATGCTCCATGGGACCCGTATTTACCTCGACGCAAATAAGGCGTTTGCCTAGGGCAGCAATTTTTTGGGGGGGAGGGCTGCGGTGGGTAGACATACATTGCTCAAGACCAGGGATACGCAAGCTTTTGAAGAGTGAGGGCCACTGAAGTGATATGGTGACCGGTCACTGGCAACAATTATTATATTATTATTATACAGTATTTATATAGCACTAAAGGTTTGCTCAGCGCTGTACATTATAGTGGGGGACAGAACATGAGACAATACAGTACAATACAATACACGAGGGGTTCAAGGGCCCTGCTATTGTGAGCTTACAATCTAGGAGGGAGGGGAAGGTGGTACAGGAGGAAGTGGCTGTGGGGGATGGAGTGGTAGGAGAAGTGGAGGAGATCGGCTGTTAGGTTAGGGTGGGGTAGGCTTCCCTGAAGAGATGAGTTTTCAGGGTGCGCCTAAAGGTGAGGAGGGTAGGTGACAGTCTGATGGATTGGGGTAGTGAGTTCAAGAGGATGGGGGAAGTCCTGGAGAAGTCCTGCAGTCGGGCGTGGGAGGTGGAGACCAGGGAGCTAGAAAGTAGGAGGTCTTGTGAGGAGTGAAGATTACGGGTAGGGTGGTATTTGGGTATCACAATGAAATGAAATGGTTCAGAATTTCACATATTTAACACCTTCATGCCAGGACCTCCTTCCTCCTGCTGGTGACCCCTCTAGTGATATAAAGATCTATATAGAGGAATCGGGACCTCCTTCCTCCTGCTGGTGACCCCTCTAGTGATATAAAGATCTATATAGAGGAATCGGGACCTCCTTCCTCCTGCTGGTGACCCCTCTAGTGATATAAAGATCTATATAGAGGAATCAGAACCTCCTTCCTCCTGCTGGTGACCCCTCTAGTGATATAAAGATCTATATAGAGGAATCAGGACCTCCTTCCTCCTGCTGGTGACCCCTCTAGAGATATAAAGATCTATATAGAGGAATCAGGACCTCCTTCCTCCCGCTGGTGACCCCTCTGGTGATATGAAGCTCTATATAGAGGAATCAGGACCTCCTTCCTCCTGCTGGTGACCCCTCTAGTGATATAAAGATCTATATAGAGGAATCAGGACCTCCTTCCTCCCACTGGTGACCCCACTAGTGATATAAAGATCTATATAGAGGAATCAGGACCTCCTTCCTCCTGCTGGTGACCCCTCTAGTGATATAAAGATCTATATAGAGGAATCAGGACCTCCTTCCTCCTGCTGGTGACCCCTCTAGTGATATATAGATCTGTATAGAGGAATCAGGACCTCCTTCCTCCCGCTGGTGACCCCTCTAGTGATATATAGATCTGTATAGAGGAATCAGGACCTCCTTCCTCCCGCTGGTGACCCCTCTAGTGATATAAAGATCTATACAGAGGAATCAGGACCTCCTTCCTCCTGCTGGTGACCCCTCTAGTGATATAAAGATCTATACAGAGGAATCAGGACCTCCTTCCTCCTGCCGGTGACCCCTCTAGTGATATAAAGATCTATACAGAGGAATCAGGACCTCCTTCCTCCCGCTGGTGACCCCTCTAGTGATATATAGATCTGTATAGAGGAATCAGGACCTCCTTCCTCCCGCTGGTGATCCCTCTAGTGATATAAAGATCTATATAGAGGAATCGGGACCTCCTTCCTCCCGCTGGTGACCCCTCTAGTGATATAAAGATCTATATAGAGGAATCAGGACCTCCTTCCTCCTGCTGGTGACCCCTCTAGTGATATAAAGATCTATATAGAGGAATCAGGACCTCCTTCCTCCTGCTGGTGATCCCTCTAGTGATATAAAGATCTATATAGAGGAATCAGGACCTCCTTCCTCCTGCTGGTGACCCCTCTAGTGATATATAGATCTGTATAGAGGAATCAGGACCTCCTTCCTCCCGCTGGTGACCCCTCTAGTGATATATAGATCTGTATAGAGGAATCAGGACCTCCTTCCTCCCGCTGGTGACCCCTCTAGTGATATAAAGATCTATACAGAGGAATCAGGACCTCCTTCCTCCTGCTGGTGACCCCTCTAGTGATATAAAGATCTATACAGAGGAATCAGGACCTCCTTCCTCCTGCCGGTGACCCCTCTAGTGATATATAGATCTGTATAGAGGAATCAGGACCTCCTTCCTCCCGCTGGTGATCCCTCTAGTGATATAAAGATCTATATAGAGGAATCGGGACCTCCTTCCTCCTGCTGGTGATCCCTCTAGTGATATAAAGATCTATATAGAGGAATCAGGACCTCCTTCCTCCTGCTGGTGACCCCTCTAGTGATATAAAGATCTATATAGAGGAATCAGGACCTCCTTCCTCCTGCTGGTGACCCCTCTAGTGATATAAAGATCTATATAGAGGAATCAGGACCTCCTTCCTCCTGCTGGTGACCCCTCTAGTGATATAAAGATCTATATAGAGGAATCAGGACCTCCTTCCTCCTGCTGGTGACCCCTCTAGTGATATAAAGATCTATATAGAGGAATCAGGACCTCCTTCCTCCTGCTGGTGATCCCTCTAGTGATATAAAGATCTATATAGAGGAATCTGGACCTCCTTCCCCCTGGAATGCATTAAGTCACTTCTCGATCTGCTGTGAAGCACTGTGGTAGTTCATTGAACCTTCCTGTCAGTATACCCGCTTTAGTGTTAATGGTTTTGTTGAATAAATCTGTGACCCGGACCTTTCCAACAAGCTGGCTTTCAATGCTGATATTGGACAAGGCTGTTTCTAATTATGATTATGTTTTGTTAATATAGGTTGTCTATTGGTTCACAGAAGTCATATTGTGGTCCATTCAGATTCCAACGTCACCTGAAAATCATTTCAGAAACCATTATACACATGGTAAATAAATGTTTCATACAGAGTTAATCAACATAATCACTTAACACATACAATCATTAACATGTTTTAAGAGTTTAAAAGGAGTCTGTGATACATTATAATCACAATGTTAAAGTGTTACTAAACCCCAAACGGTACAATCAGTCTGTAGATGCAGGAAAGCGTGCTTGTTATACTCACTGTGGAACCTAAGAGGTTAATCCTCCGCATTGTGTAAAAAGGCTGTTTGATCCTGTCTTCTCTGATCCTCCCCTTCTTCTACTATCCCCAATCCATCTGCTGATAGAACAGAGCCTTGGGGGCAAGTTGCACATGATTAGTTTAGTGTGTATTGCTAGAGAGTTTTCTTTTTCTTGGGAGAGTGCATGTGATCAGCACAGGGCCAATCAGCACTGTCCAGACAGAGGGTCGGGGGGGATGTAGCCTCATAGGACAATCTGGGGAGAATAAAAACACCTCCTACAAGCTTTAACCAGTGCTCTGCTGGACACTAATAGAAGTCACAAGACTAATATATACTGCTGATGAGAAAAGGGATTTAGCGGTCTATATTTTCTACTATTTCTATAAAGGAATAAGGACCTCCTTCCTCCTGCCGGTGACCCCTCTAGTGATATAAAGATCTATATAGAGGAATCAGGACCTCCTTCCTCCTGCTGGTGACCCCTCTAGTGATATAAACATCTATATAGAGGAATCAGGACCTCCTTCCTCCTGCTGGTGATCCCCTCTAGTGATATAAAGATCTATATAGAGGAATCAGGACCTCCTTCCTCCTGCTGGTGACCCCTCTAGTGATATAAAGATCTATATAGAGGAATCAGGACCTCCTTCCTCCTGCTGGTGACCCCTCTGGTGATATAGAGGTAACGCCCTCTAGCTTAGTCAGAGAGAGTTTGTTGTTTTATTTTTTTAGGCAGAGACTGAGTAGGAGCCTGATGATGAGTCAGCCTCAGAGTGAGGTAGAGACAGGGGCGGACTGACCATTTGGAAACTCGGGCACTGCCCAAGGGCCCGGGGTCAGTAGGGGGCCCCATGAGATGCCCCTGGTACCTTTTTCATAGGTTTTTTTGAGTTTGGGCAAGGACACAGGGGCCCCATGATCTCTTATTGCCCGGGGGCTCATCAGTTGTCAGTCCGCCCCTGGGTAGAGAGGTCATCTCAGGACAGGCTGGGAGGCTCTAACAGCTCCAGGGTTCTGGAGCTCTCACACTCTTCCAGAAACTAAGACAAACTTTCTGGAGGAGGGGCGGAGGCCCAGATCTGGCCAACTAGCTTCTCATCTGGGGCTGCTGTGCTAAAATGGCAGCTTCTGGGCCCCATGCCCAGGGAATTCCCTCAGTGCAGCTGGGTGAAGAGGAGGAATCATCTGGGGTCTGAGGAAGTACACTAGAGAGCTGGAATGCTCTCAGAGGAGAGACTATTATTTTTGTTCACATCTTTGTACACAGTTGCTCTGAGTTGTCCTCAAGTTTCCAAAGTTCCTTGCGCATCCCATACACCCCTCAACCCCATACAAGTTAATAACCCCTTAACAAAATCACAAAACCAAGCTAAAGGACTGCTTACTGATTCTGAGTGCAAAGTGTGGAAAAAAAATGCATATTGCCTGGGTGTGCAGAGCTTTAGATGGGCCCAAAACTCAGTGACTCCTATGGGAGTAGTGCTATATAAAGATCTATATATGGGGAACCGGACCTCCTTACTCCTGCTGGTGACCCCTCTAGTGATATAAAGATCTATATAGAGGAATCAGGACCTCCTTCCTCCTGCTGGTGATCCCTCTAGTGATATAAAGATCTATGTAGAGGAATCAGGACCTCCTTTCTCCTGCTGGTGACCCCTCTAGTGATATAAAGATCTATGTAGAGGAATCAGGACCTCCTTCCTCCTGCCGGTGACCCCTCTAGTGATATAAAGATCTATATAGCGGAATCAGGACCTCCTTCCTCCTGCCGGTGATCCCTCTAGTGATATAAAGATCTATATAGAGGAATCAGGACCTCCTTCCTCCCGCTGGTGACCCCTCTAGTGATATAAAGATCTATATAGAGGAATCAGGCCCTCCTTCCTCCTGCCGGTGATCCCTCTAGTGATTCAAAGATCTATGTAGAGGAATCAGGACCTCCTTCCTCCTGCTGGTGATCCTTCCAGTGATATAAAGATCTATATAGAGGAATCATAACCTCCTTCATCTTGCTGGTGACCCCTTTAGGGATATAAAGATCTATATAGAGGAGTCAGGACCTCCTTCCTCCCGCTGGTGATCCTTCTAGCGATATAAAGATCCATATAGAGGAATCAGGACCTCCTTCATCTGGCTGGTGACCCCTATAGTTATATAAATATCTATATGGAGGAAACAGGACCTCCTTCCTCCTGCTGGTGACCCATCTAGTGATATAAATATCTATATGGAGGAAACAGGACCTCCTTCCTCCTGCTGGTGATCCCTCTAGTGATATAAAGATCTATATAGAGGAATCGGGACCTCCTTCCTCCTGCCGGTGACCCCTCTAGTGATAACTAAAGATCTATATAGAGGAATCAGGACCTCCTTCCTCCTGCTGGTGACCCCCCTAGTGATATACAGATCTATATAGAGGAATCAGGACCTCCTTCCTCCTGCCGGTGATCCCTCTAGTGATATAAAGATCTATATAGACTAACCTCCTTCCCCCTGGAATGCATTAAGTCACTTCTCGATCTGCTGTGAAGCACTGTGGTAGTTCATTGAACCTTCCTGTGTCACCTGAAAACCATTTCAGAAACCATTATACACATGGTAAATAAATGTTTCATAGAGTTAATCAACATAATCACTTAACACATACAGTCATTAACATGTTTTAAGAGTTTAAAAGGATTCTGTGATACATTATAATCACAATGTTAAAGTGTTACTAAACCCCCAACAGTACAATCAGTCTGTAGATGCAGGAAAGCGTGCTTGTTATACTCACTGTGGAACCTAAGTGGTTAATCTTCTGCATTGTGTAAAAAGGCTGTTTGATCCTGTCTTCTCTGATCCTCCCCTTCTTCTACTATCCCCAATCCATCTGCTGATAGAACAGAGCCTTGGGGGCAAGTTGCACATGATTAGTTTAGTGTGTATTGCTAGAGAGTTTTCTTTTTCTTGGGAGAGTGCATGTGATCAGCACAGGGCCAATCAGCACTGTCCAGACAGAGGGTTGGGGGGTTATGCAGCCTCATAGGACAATCGGGGGAGAATAAAAACACCTCCTACAAGTATTAACAAGTGCTCTGCTGGACACTAATAGAAGTCACAAGACTGCTATATACTGCTGTTGAGAAAAGGGATTTAACGGTCTATATTTACTACTATTTTCTACTATTTCTATAAAGGAATAAGGACCTCCTTCCTCCTGCTGGTGACCCCTCTAGTGATATAAAGATCTATATAGAGGAATCAGGACCTCCTTCCTCCCGCTGGTGACCCCTCTAGTGATTTAACGATCTCTATAGAGGAATCAGGACCTCCTTCCTCCCGCTGGTGACCCCTCTAGTGATATGAAGATCTATATAGAGGAATCAGGACCTCCTTCCTCCTGCCGGTGACCCCTCTAGTGATATAAAGATCTATATAGAGGAATCAGGACCTCCTTCCTCCCGCTGGTGAGCCCTCTAGTGATATAAATTTCTATATAGAGGAATCAGGACCTCCTTCCTCCTGTTGGTGATCCCTGTAGTGATATAAAGATCTATATAGAGGAATCAGGACCTCCTTCCTCCTGCTGGTGATCTCTCTAGTGATAATGATCTAAATAGAAGAATCAAGACCTCCTTTCTCCTTCTGGTGACCCCTCTAGTGATATAAAGATCTATGTAGAGGAATCAGGACCTCCTTCCTCCTGCTGGTGACCCCTGTAGTGATATAGAGGTAACGCCCTTTAGCTTAGTCAGAGAGAGTTTGTTGTTTTATATTTTTAGACAGAGGCTAAGTCAGCCTCAGAGTGAGGCAGAGAGGTCACCTCAGGACAGGCTGGGAGGCTCTAAAAGGTCCAGGCTTCTGGAGCTCTCCCACTCTTCCAGAAACTAAGACAAACTTTCTGGAGGAGGGGCAGAGGAGGGGAGGTGGCCAGATCTGCATATTTGAGGGACCCTGGCCAATCCCCTTGCAGGAGGCTGGACATGGTGTCCAGGGCAAACATTAAATGTGTCAGAGCCTGTGCAGAGTTAGTACAGTGTCGGGTGGAAGAGGGAGTGAGAGGCTGAAGTGAAGAGACTGGAAGGGGGCCCAGGGAAGGGGACTACGTACAGGCAGGATGCTGGAAAAGGAAATCTCCACTGCACCACTGTCTTCTAAGAGGAACATCCTGAGCAGCAGGGAAGGAGCCAGCCAAGCGGAAGGCCTAAGGGCAGCCACCAAACCAACAAGCTGACAGATAGGACAGTGTGAGTATTCTTAAATCCCCTGGGCCAGATAAGGAGAGAGGGCAGTCAGGTGGAAAATCCAACTGCCTTCTCATCTGGGGCTGCAGTGCTAAAATGGCAGCTTCTGGGCCCCATGCCCAGGGAATACCCTCAGTGCAGCTGGGTGAAGAGGAGGAATCATCTGGGGTCTGAGGAGGTACACTAGAGAGCTGGACTGCTCTCAGAGGAGAGACTATTTATTTTGTCCTCATCTTTGTACACAGTTGCTCTGAGTTGTCCTTAAGTTTCTAAAGTTCCTTGGGCATCCTATACACCCCTCAACCCCGTGCAAGTTAATAACCCCTTAACAAAAATCACAAAACCAAGCTCAAGGACTGGTTACTGATTCTGAGTGCAAAGTGTGTAAGACAATGCATGCTGCCTGGCTGTGCAGAGCTTTAGGGGGGCCCAAACTCAGTGACTCCTATGACAGTAGTGCTACATAAAGATCTATATACGTATGGGGAACCGGACCTCCTTACTCCCACTGGTGACCCCTCTAATAGTATAAAGATCTACATAGAGGAATCAGGACCTCCTTCCTCCTGCTGGTAACCCCTCTAGTGATATTAAGATCTATATAAAGGAATCAGGACCTCCTTCCTCCTGATGGTGACCCCTCTAGTGATATAAAGATCTATATAGAGGAATCGGGACCTCCTTCCTCCTGCTGGTGACCCCTCTAGTGATATAAAGATCTACATAGAGGAATCAGGACCTCCTTCCTCCCGCTGGTGACCCCTCTAGTGATAAAAAGATCTATATAGAGGAATCAGGACCTCCTTACTCCCGCTGGTGACCCCTCTAGTGATAAAAGATCTATATAGAGGAATCAGGACCTCCTTACTCCTGCTGGTGACCCCTCTAGTGATATAAAGATCTACATAGAGGAATCAGGACCTCCTTCCTCCCGCTGGTGACCCCTCTAGTGATATAAAGATCTATATAGAGGAATCAGGACCTCCTTCCTCCCGCTGGTGACCCCTCTAGTGATATAAAGATCTATATAGAGGAATCAGGACCTCCTTCCTCCCGCTGGTGACCCCTCTAGTGATATAAAGATCTATATAGAGGAATCAGGACCTCCTTCCTCCCGCTGGTGACCCCTCTAGTGATATAAAGATCTATATAGAGGAATCAGGACCTCCTTACTCCTGCTGGTGACCCCTCTAGTGATATAAAGATCTACATAGAGGAATCAGGACCTCCTTCCTCCTGCCGGTGACCCCTCTAGTGATATAAAGATCTATATAGAGGAATCAGGACCTCCTTCCTCCTGCCGGTGATCCCTCTAGTGATATAAAGATCTATATAGAGGAATCAGGACCTCCTTCCTCCTGCCGGTGACCCCTCTAGTGATATAAAGATCTATATAGAGGAATCAGGACCTCCTTCCTCCTGCTGGTGACCCCTCTAGTGATATAAAGATCTATATAGAGGAA